ATCGCAACCCTCAGTGCTGCCCCCGCACCGGACCGGGGACCGGCAACGGGATTGCAAGCCTTGGTGTTGCTCCCGCGCCTCGCTCAGCCAGCGAGCGGGAACCCGTCTGTATGTGGGATCCGAACCCTCCGCCGGCCCAAAAGCAAGAAGTTTTTTTTTAAAAGGCTTCAGGCTGTTCTGCGGGTGACCTACCCTTTCCTTCAGGCATGAATTGAATTCCCTCGCTTCCAACTCCAAACTTCCTCAGTGAATCCTTAAGAATATACTTGAGCAGGAATTTGAAAAAGTAAATAAAAGGTAGAGGCCAAGAGGCAGGAGGCCTCAGGGCACATATGGCCTAGAGGGCCTGGCAGGAGGCAGGAGCCTACTGTAAAAGCAGTTAGAAGCCTATGAGGGGTGTGAGCCGGGAAGGAGCCTGATCTGGTTTGAAATTTGCAGGAGCACACTCTATGGTGATGGCCCCACAGAGGGGCCCAAGCAGAGGTCCTGGAGGTCAGCATGGGCTGGAGGATGGGGAGATTAGATCCCAACATCCTCAGGGTTGGGACACAGGGAATGGGGACGCACTAACAGAATTTGGGGTGGGGAAGAGGTGTGTTCCCATCTGTGCTTTGGGAAAGTTGCCCTGATGGAGGCCTCTTCCCAGACAGGCCAGGCAGAAGGCCCAGTGGGCAGAGTGGGGCAGAGACTGGGATACCAGGGAGGGACAACCCCACAGACACTGTCCTCCCCCCACCTGTGTGAAGGATGAGAGGACCTCAGCTTTTGGCCTGGGTGGGGTGTGTGTGGGCCCTGCTCAAGGAGCCTGGGACATGGGGCAGACAGGAGCCTAGGCCCCAGGTAGTGAGTTCAGCTTTGGGGCTGAGGTTGAAGACAGGCCGGTGCTCTTGGGCAGTACAAGTATTCAGAAAGACCCCAGTCCGTCACTTCTTGTCACCTCTCCCCAGGGTGACAGAGATGGAGATGCAAAGGATTACCCAAAGCCCATTTTTCCAGAGCTGTGAGAGGCCCAGAAGGGTTAATTCTAGGAGACGACTTTTTCAAGAGAGAAGCTTTTCTCGAAAAATAGCCCTTAGTTCGAACTACGTTTTCTCTCAGCTTTTATTGGTCAGCCAAGAAAGTTACAGAAAAGAACACAGGTGGTTAATCAGTCATAGTGAAAACATAAACTGGCTACATAACAATTTTCATTAAAGCAGGTGCAACTTAAAAATAGTTTAAGCAATTTACCATCAAAGGAGTCATAAAACTAAGCTATGTGACATACAAAAGAACCAATGAGATAATTGTTATGGCAACACTTAGTTCCCTAGGAAACTTAGAGAAGTGGTTGAAGGTGAAATGTGAAACCAACCACTAATTGGCAGAGTAGCCTTGAAGCTTTTAACTCACATACTCTTTCATAATTAGGTTTAGCTGCACCAAGAGCATCTGCCCTTAGAGCAAGCACTTTTGCTGTGTTACAATTTTCATATCCACACCAGAGACTTCTTAGTCCTATGAAAGTTTTCTGTTTTTTTCCCCAAGCTTAGCATTTCTGTGTGCAATACTAAAAAGTTAGGTTCTTCCTCAACCTACAAGGCTTTGGCTACAAGGCTTTTGCTATAGCCTAAACTAAAGGGCTTTGGCCCTTCTAACAGCTAAGGACTGTTGTCCTACTAAGATAAAGATCTTACTAAGCTACAGCCTGATCTAAGGACTGTGGTCCTTCTAATCTAAGGGTTGTGGCCCTACTAGGCTAAAGGTTAAGGCCCTGTGAAATACATGTGCTTTATTAATGTTATTACCCTACACAACTTCTCACCTAGTGTGCTGATTTCCCTCCCCTGACCCCCACGTTAACACCTTTGTCTCCACTGATTGGAAAGCTGGAGCGGGCATGGGAACAGTGACTAAGAGACAGGGGAGGGGAAATGAAGTTTGGGAGGCTGGGTGCTCCCTTAATTGGCACAGTGACCCCAAATGCTGCCACTTGAGGGTCCGGGGCTTGGGTAGGGAGTGGGGAGAATGGCGGGATCCGGTGCTTCCTGTGGACTCCGGGTCACCTGTTGCACGCCCACGCCATTGAGGGAGTGTCGGGATTAGATCCCGCCCAGATTGACGCAGTTGGGGGGGGGACTTTTGGGGGCACAGGCCGCCCTGGAGGGGAGCCCACTGTGTCCTGCCCTGTCCCCCTCTCTCCAGCCACAGGGGATTGGTTAGGGATCATGGAATTGAAACTTTCCCAAACTGAGGGGCTGACAGGCCGCCCCTGGGTGAGTGGCGATGCGGGAAGGAGCCTCAGGTCAAGTTCAAGAAGGAAATTTACAAAGAAACGGGACAAGAGCCAAAGCTAAAGAGACTGCCCTAATAATAGGGAGGGGCCGCCCCTTGGGAGACCTGCCAGAACTGATAGAATCTCAAAATGCAGTCTCTACAGTGCTCCTTTTTTCTTCCAACTTGTGTTTTTCTACTCCACGTCCCCCACCGAATTTTATCCTAAGGTAACGCACATACTTTTGTTCTTGAGTTTTTTATCCACTCCCACTCTACATATCTGCAAGTCTGTTTCTCTCTCTCCCTCTCTCTTATACCTCACATATTTACACACATTATATTCACTAAATGATAGTAAATAAAACTACATAAATATTTCAAATTTTAATATTTATTGTACATAATCTCAAATTTTATTGGAAATACGCCCTCTAATCAGATTGATGTGCGCTTAAGGGAATTGTTGTTGCTGGTCTCTTTTGGGTGCCTGGGGCGATGTCCGTTGTTGTAAGTTTCAGGCAGGTGAGTTTGGCACGTGGGAGAAGGAAGAAACAGTGAGAAGGGGCCCAGGGGCAGGGAGCTCCCGGAGACTTTCTCTGGCTGATTGATTTTGGGCTTGAGTGCATGTGGACTGTGAAGATTTGGAAACTGATTCCCTGAAAACTCCCCAAGTCCACATAGCCCCAGAAAGGCTTTTCCTGCCCATCCTGGGTCCCTGGTGCCCTAAGTATACCTGGTCTCTTTACACTCTTAATAATTATTGAGAACCACGGAGAGCTTTTATTAATGTGGGTTATATCTATCTGTACTCGCTATATTTGAAATTAAAACAATTTTTTTTTCCTTTTTGTCTTTTTTTCGTGACCAGCAAGGGGATCGCAACCCTCGGTGTTGCGCCCGCACCTCACTCAGCCAGTGAGCGGTGGGTCTGTATGTGGGATTCAAACCCTCGGCGGGAGCGCCACCGCACTCCCAAGCGGTGCACTGTAGCAGTGCGCCACCGGGCCGGCCCTAAAACAAATTTTTCACATATTCATTTATTAATTCATTTTAAAATAATGATGAACCCGTTTCTTGTTAACACAAATATCTTATTTTTATGAAAAAAAAGTTATTATCCAAAATAAAAAATAGTGAAAAGAGCAGCATTCTTTCACATTTTTGCAAATCTCTGTAATACCTGGCTTCAGACAGCTGGATTCTCACAACTGCTTCTGCGTCTGGCGAACTCCACCCCACACTCTTGAGAGTGAGAGTGAAAAGGGCAAATACCTCTAGCGTCATCATAGACACGGTTTTGACCTCATGGACCCCCTGAAAGGATTCCGGAGACCCTCGGGGGTCCCCACTACACTGTGAGAACTGCTGCCCCTGAACAAGGGAGCCAAGCTCCAAAGGGTATGGGGGAGTAGGAGGGGGTTGGATGCGGGGGAGGGGGTGTCACCACAGGCATGTTTGGGCTCCATTTACTTGATCCTTCATGGGCCCAAGGAAGCTTCCCCCGCACCCCCACCACAGGTGGCTCCAGGATGGAATCCTGTGCATAATTATTTCAGGATTCATCCAAGTTGTCATGCACAGAGTATTTTATTTATTTATTTTTTTGTCCTTTTTGAGACCGGCCGCACCGCGCTCAGCCAGTGAGCGCAGCGGCCATCCCTATATAGGATCCGAACCTGCTCCTGCGAGAGCTCCGCTGCGCTCCCAAGCGCCGCACTCTCCCGAGTGCGCCACAGGGCTCTGCCCTGCACAGAGTATTTTAATTGGATAATTTTTGTAATAGCAAAACACTGCAAACCTACATGTGTGGTGACAGTAACGATTAGGTAAATTACAGTATTCCAAAGCCGAATACTCTGCAGCCATCAAAGAGAAAGTAGGAGAGAATGAACTCAGTGGGAATAGTCTCTGGACCTATTAAGCAGATACCATAGAATATACAACAATGTGCACATTATGATCTTTTTGTGTGTTTTTGAAAAATTGAACAATGCATATGTAACTGGAAAAGACGCAAGCAGCTGCTTAAAGTAACTGCTCATGTCTGGCTAGATGTAGGGCCTGCAGAGGAAGGTTTGTAGGTTGTAAAAACGTGACGTCATCTATCCAGCCAGTTAGCTCAGTTGGTTAGCCCCAAGCCGTGGGTTCGGAGCCCCTTTACGCCAGCCACCAAGAGGAAAAAATAAAAAACCGTAAAGCTTTTAAATCTCGTAGCACTGAATGGTGTTCCTCTTGTTTGGTTCTTAAAGAAAGGTAGGAGGGGTCATCTCGGCAGCGGGAACGTGCTCCGCTTCTGCCCTTCGGCGCCATCTGCCTCCGGGAGCTCCTGTGCCCCGCCCCCGCTCGTCGCGCCTTCCCATTGGCCCGCCGCCGCGCCTCCCGCCCAATCGCAGGGCTCAGCGCCAGAATTCGAATCTCCATTTTCGTTTGAGTCTGGTGGGCGCGGCGGGAGGCCTCCCGGTCCGGCGGGCGGGCAGAGCAGCGGGGCTGCGGGCCGGGCGGGCGGCGGCGGACACAGGCGGAGCGTCGCGGGCTCCTCCTGCTGAGGACTTCGGAGGCTGGACCGCCGGGTCCCTCCGGGCTCTGGCGAGGGTGCCTCGGGGGAGCTCCAGGCAGGGCGGGCCCTGGGGCAGCGTCGTGGCCGCGATTCCCACGGGTCAGTAAGGTGCGGGCCGGGGCGGCGGCATCGGGGAGGGGACAGGAGACCCTCTTTGGTCACTTGACATGTCACTTCTCAGAGCCTCCACGTTCAGAGCGCCCCACCTGTCCTGCAGCGGAAGAATCGCTTGTCGGTCGGCGTCTGCAGACATCTGAGGCCTGTCCTCCCTCTACCGGCCGTGCTCAGCGTCCTGTGTGGAACGTGGGGCCAGCGGGACGCTGGTGACCGTACAGAGGAGCGGGGTCGAGGCCTTCGCTGAGCCCGAGGACCCGAGTGTGGGAAGGTGAACCCGCGCCCGCGCCTCAGCTCAGAAAGACGGACGCGCCCTGATCCCGCATGAAGTCCAGAGACCGGCTCTGGGACTAGTTCCCGCCCTCCAGGTTCCTGGTACTTCCCTGCACATTTTCACCTGGACGTAGTTGTTTATTGCTAAGTAAAAGTCTGAAAATGTTCACATAGTTAAGTGGTTTTTTAAAAACAAGCAAAAGTTTAAAAATTGACTTGATAGAAATCTTGTGGTGGTGAAAGATGGAGATGATTCTGAAGCCTAATTCGCTTCAGTAGTCTTGAGAGGACACTGTGCACCCGAGTCCCTCCCCTGGCTATTCTGGACACTATGGGAATGAAGGAAGGAGGCGCAGCCCTTGTCTCTTGGCTTTTTTTGGAAAAAAGAAAATGGGAGAGAAAGCCCTCTTGCTCGTGTTTTGAGAACTGTTGCCTTCCTGTTGTGGCAATAACCGCGTGCCAACGTAAGAGGCACAGTTACTAACAGCGCCCCCTTTCATTCTTCAACGTTTCTCCCTGTGTGGCCTGGCCTCTGACCCCCATGCTGGCCTCATCCCATTCTCCCAGCCCCATCACCTACCAAGGTCAACCCACTTAAGCCATTCCAAGCTCTTGCTCCCCTTGGTGCTTTACACAGTTGGAATTTTATGACTGGAATTTTCTGCCCACCCTGATACTTGAGTCATTCCTTTCCCTCTTTCAGGTATGTGTTTAAATGTTACCTAAAAACAAGACTTTAATGAAAACTTGTCTTTCCTAACACCACAATTTCAGTGATGAGTTGTTGGTTTGCCTTTCCTGCTAGGCTAAGCTCCCCAAAGGGCAAGGACTATCTTGTTAATAATTAGGGACTCAGGGCCAGGAATGATGACCGGCATGTGAGAAGTGACCAATATATTACACTCTGGTAAGTGTGCAGTAGAAATATGGACTGGAGATGGGAACTTGTAATCAGTAGATGGCAGTGGTTCTCACAAGAGGGCAACTTTACAAGGTGACATTTGGCAAGGTCTGGAGACTTCCGCGTCACCATGGGGGAGGGACTTGCCACTGTGATGACTGAGCAGAGGGCAGGGGTGCTGAACATTCCTGCAGCTCACAGAACAGCCCCAAACAATGAAGAAGTGTCTGGTCCAAAATGTCGACAGTGCTGAGGCTAAGAAACACTGATCTACAGTAATCTTCCTGCCAAACAAATTCTCATCTCTATTTTGCTGGGATGTTCTGATACCTAAAAAGTTCTCTTCTTGGGGTAAAAGAAGCTGTTCACTTTCCCTAGCTTCCTTTCTCTTCAAAAGATAAACAATAAACATTTCAGTCGCAAATGGCAGTCATTTTAGTTAGTATACAGTAGTACCTAAGTATATTTTTATACAAGATTTTATAATTTAGAAACTAATTCATAAGTGTTTGGTCATACGACATGAGTAGGAAAGAGATATGCTTAGACTCCAAAGGTTCATTTGGAGAACAGACAGGACATTACATAGTTTGTTCAAACTTTCTAATCCACAAGATAGAACAGGAGCACCAGACTCCAGGAACCTGCTAATGAGCTCTTAGGGTTATTAGTTTATGTGTAGGTTTATTCTGCTGTTTTGCCATATGTTAGCTTTCTGTGGAAAAGACCAGTTGAATCCAGATATTGTTTTTGTGGTTTGCAGATTAGTATTTTTAATGTCAGCAGACTTTTGATTCTGTCACTTAATACAGTATAGTTTTAAAATAATGAAAAGCTCACACATAATGTGCATTTACTGAGTGTGCAGCAAATGAGTGAGTATACATCTCATTTTATGTTTCAACAACACTATGACGTAGGGGCCAATGTAATCTCTTTTCTGTATAGAAAGAAACTGAGGCACAGAGCACATAAAATATACCCCACTTTGGGGGATGATTAAAGCTTTAAACATACATAAACTTACAAACAAACATACATCAACTTTTTTTTTTTAAAGCAGAGTATTAAAAATAGTCATTCTCCAAAACTGATATAATTACACTTTTAGTTTGTCTAAGTATAGCTGTTTATATAAAAGGTAATTCAATTTGTATTCTAGTATTTTCTATGATTTATTTTTTTAAAGGCTGGTCAAGTGAAGCAGTGGGAGTGGAGAAGGAACAAAGAAATTTGTAATTGGTTGTGATCAATTAGTCTAAAACACCACTACACTCAGACCACCTCCATCATAATTATTTTAAAATACTTTAAGTTTTAAAGATCTAAAGGAGTTGTTTATGTAATACTTGTAAAAATCGTTTGCAAATGCAAAGGTCATTTACATTGCCCATTTTTTTTAAATTTAAAAAATTTAATTTACACAATAATTGTACATATTTATGGGGTACAGTGTGATGTTTCAATACCTGTGTACATTGCATAATAGTCAAGTCAGAGTAGTTATTTTTTTTATTTTTTCAAAAAAAGATGACTGGTAAGGGGATCTTAACCCTTGACTTGGTGTTGTCAGCACCACATTCTCCCAAGTGAGCCACAGGCCGGCCCTCAAGTCAGAGTAGTTATATCCATCATCTCAGCAATTATAATTTCTCTGTGTTGGGAACATTCAAAATCCTCTCTTCTAGCTATTTGAAAATTTAGAATAAATTATTTTTAACTGTAGTCACCCTGCAGTGCTATGGAACTCTAGAACTTGTTCCTCCTATCTAGCTATAATCTCGTGTCTGTTACCTAACCTCTCTCTTCCCCTTCCCATCCTCTAGCTGCCACTATTCTACTCTCTACTTCTTTTTTTTGTTTTGAAAAGATGACCGGTAAGGGGATCTTAACCCTTGACTTGGTGTTGTTAGCACCACGCTCAGCCAGTGAGCAAACCGGCCATCCCTATGTGGGATCCGAACCCAGGGCCTTGGTGTTATCAGCACCACACTCTCCCAAGTGAGCCACGGGCCGGCCCTTCTACTCTCTACTTCCATGAGGTCAACTTATTTAGCTTCTGCATATGAGTGAAAACATACTGTATTTATCCTTCTGTTTGGCTTTTTCCACTTAACATAATGTCCTCCAGGCTTTTCTATGTTGCCACAAATGACAGGATTTCATTCTCTTTTTTATGGCTGACTAGTATTCCAGTGTGTGTATATACTACATTTTCTTTATCCATTCATCTGTTGATGGACATTTAAGTTGATTTCATATCTTGGCTATTGTAAATAGTGCTGTAGTGTACATGGAGTGCAGGTATCTCTTTGACATACTGAGTTCCTTTCCTTTGGATATATACCCAGCAATAGGATTGCTGGATCATATGGTAGTTCTAGTTTTTAGTTATTTGAGGAACCTCCACACTGTTTTCCATAATGGCTATACTAATTTACATTCCCACCAATACTATATAAGAATCCAGGAAATTCTTAAAGGGCCACAAAAAACAATTACATTGTATAATGTTAAATATACTAACTATCCTGATTTGAGCATCACATATTGCACACAGGTACACAAGTAATGACATTCAACTCTGTACCCCACAGAAATGTACTATCAACTATGTTACAATAAAAAAAAAAGAATTTTCGTTTCTCCACATCATGGATAGCTTTTGTTATTTTTTGTATTCTTGATAATATTCATCTTAACTGGGGAGAGATGATTATTGGTGGTCTTGATTTGCATTTCTCTGATGATTAGTGATATTGAGCTTTTTAAAAATATTCTTGTTGGCCATTTGTCTTTTGAAAAATGTCTATTCAGATCATTTGCTAACTTTTAAAATTGGATTTATATATATATATATTTTATTTTATTTATTATCTATTTTTTTTTTGCTGTTGAGTTAAGTTCCTTGTGTGTTCTGGATACTAACCCCTTTCAGATGAATAGTTTGCAAATATTTTCTTTCATTTTGCAGGTTGTCTCTTCACTCTGCTGTTTGTTTCCTTTGCTGTGCTGAAGCTTTTTAATTTGATATAATCCCATTTGTCTATTTTTGTTTTTGTTACCTGTGCTTTTGAGGTCTTATTCATAAAATCTTTGCTTAGATCAATGTCCTGAAGCATTTCCCCTATGTTTTCTTCTAGTAGTTTCATAGTTTGGGGTCTTACATTTAAGCATTTAAGTGTTTAATCCATTTTGAGTTGATTTTTGTATATGCTGAGAGATAGGGGTCTATTTTCATTCTTCTGCATATGGATCTCCAGTTTTGCCAGCACCATTTATTATAGACTGTTCTTTCCCCATGTATGTTCTTGGTGCCTTTGTCAAAAATCAGTTGGCTGTACATATGTGGACATATTTCTGGGTTTGTTATTCTGTTCCATTAGTCTCTGTTTTTTTGCTGGTACCACACTGTTGTTTTTTTTTTCCTTTTTGTCTTTTTTACTGACCGGTAACGGGATCGCAACCCTCAGTGTCGGGCCTGTACCAGGGACCAGCAATGGGATCGCAACCCTCGGTGTTGCGCCCACACCGCGCTCAGCCAGTGAGCAGGAACCGGTCTCCACATGGGATCCGAACCCTTGGCAGGAGCGCCGCTGCGCTCCCAAGCGGCACACTCTCCAGTGCGCCACTGGGCCAGCCCACACTGTTTTGATTACTATTGCTTTGTAGTATATTTTGAAGTCAGGCACTATGATGCTTTTCTTCCAGCTTTGTTCTTTTTGCTCAGGATTTCTTTGGCTATTTAGAGTCTTCTGTGCATCTGTATGAATTTTAGGATTTTTTTTTCTATTTCTGTGAAGAATGTCATTGGTATTTTGATAGGGGTTACATTGAATCTGTAGATAGTTTTGGGTAGTATGGTCATTTTTAACACTTTTAATTTCTTCCAATCCATGAACATGGGTTGTGTCCACTTTTTTGTGTTGTCTACAATTTCTTTCATCAGAGTGTTATAGTTTTCCTTGTGGAGATCATCCACCTCCTTGGTTAAATTTATTCCTAGGTATTTTATTTTCTTAGTAGCTATTGAAAATAGGGTTGATTTCTGGATTTCTTTTTCAGATAGTTTATTATTGGTGTATAGAAATGCTACTGATTTTTGTGTGTTGATTTTTTTTTTGTCCTGCAACTTTAGTGAGTTTATCAGTTCTAAGAGTTATGTGGTAGAGTCTTTACATTTTTCTCTATGTGAGATTGTGTTGTCTCAAACAGGGACAATTTAACCTCCTCATTTCCAGTTTGGATGCCCTTTATTTCTTTCTCTTGCCTGATTGCTCTGGGTAGGACTTCCAGTGCCATGTTGAATAATAAGAGTGGTGAAAGTGAGCATTCTTACATTGTCCTGGTTCTTAAAGGTACATTCCTTCTCTGCCTAATTTGTTGAGAGTTTGTATCTTGAAGGAATGTTGAACTTTATCAAATGCTGCATTATTGAAAATGAGCATATGTGATGTACTGTGTTTGTTGGTTTGTGTATGTTGAATCATCCTTGCGTCCCTGGGATAACTGCAAAGTCATTTAACATTGCACATTTTGTTTTGTTATTCCTTTGTGTCATTATATTTACAAATCAAACATACTAGTCAAATTCTGTTCTATTTTGAAAAATTGAGGTAATTTTTAAAGAAGTTGCAACAACCAAAAAAAAAAAAACCTTAATTCTTTTATATTAAGGGGTATCAAATGTGACATCCATGTCCAGCTTCCTGTAGTATTGAAACAACACAGCAAAAATGAAATCAGAGCCGGAGGTAAGTGGATTTTTGGAAGTTGATTTTTAAAACTTTTTAGTTCACTTTTTATCTATTCATTTGTAAAATATTTTATCCTTTCTTTCCACTTGAAGGTAATATTGTATAATTTAAGTTCCACAAATCCAGCACAAGTCAATGGATCTGCTATTGAAGAACCCATACAACTGAAACATGTGAAGATGTAATAACTATTGTTGATCGATCTTTCAGGTAGGTAAAAACTAATTGGGTTAACAAAAAATGGCACCTTCTGATTAACCATAAACTAGTGTCCCAGTTTTGCTGTGATTCTTCTTTAGTGTTGATGAATATTAAATCTTTCATATTTTCATTCTCAAAACTAATCTTAATCTAAAAGCATATGGATCCAGAAGGAATGATAAGAGGGGTTCAATGTGATGGAATTCAAGGATTTGAGTGCACATTATTATGTAGAAGAAAGGTGACCTAGCCTTAAAGGAGTTTGTTATTTTGTGAGTGTTGTGAAACCTCATGAGTTTTTTTGTTTCTTTTTTTATTTTAAAGAATAAAAATAAGTATTCTATTTTATAGGTACTAAACAAAATATACAAGTCAGGTTATCATGCTGTGAACACCCTTGTGATTACCACCTGTTATGGACTGAATTGTGCACTCCCAAAATTCATATATTAAAGTCTTAACTCCCAGTACCTTAGAATGTGACTGTAGTTGGAGACAGGGCTTTTAAAGAGGCAATTAAATTAAACTGAGGCCATTATTATGATGGGCCCTAATCCAGTGACCGGTGCCATTATAACTGGAGGAGATTAGGACACAAAGAGATACAGAGGGAAGCAGATGAACAAAGAAAAGACCATGTGAAGAGGCAGCTGTCTGCAGGCCAAGGAGAGAGGCCAAAGAAACCAGCCCCACAGACACTTTTATCTTGGACTTCAGCCTCCAGAACCATGAGAAGAGAATTTCTGTTGTTTAATATATCCAGTCTGTGATATTTTGTTATGGAAGCCCTGGTAAACTAATACACCATCCAAGTCATAAAGAACATTTCCAGAAGCTTCTTTTGTGCTATCTTTTACTCACTGCTTCATTTTCTAAGTTAACCACCACTGTGGCTTTTGTGATATCATAAAATTCTCTGGAGTTTTACTACCTGAGCATCGATCTTTGATCAGTGCAGTTTTGTCTGTCTTCATGACACGTGTGTGAGAGTCACAGCATGCTGTGTGTCTGTATAGTGTGTTCGTTCTCACTGTGTAAACATTTCATTGAGAAAAACATGCATAAGATACACAAAAATAAGCATAATTATACACAATTTATTTGTTCTGGAAGGGCATTTGAGTAATTTCCAGTTTTGAAATGTGCTTTATGATCAAATACAATTAATTTTTTACTAATCTGTCCCATGTATTTGAAAGTAATGTGTGTTCTACTGCCATTGGATCCAGTGTCTATATATATGTATGTGAGATTCAAATCTTTTATATTCTTAATAATTTTCCCCCTGCTTATTTGTCGCTCTAAGAGATATGTTGAAGTCCTCCACTGAGGATTTACTTATTTTTCTTTTTTAAAACTCTATTAGTTTTTTGGGCCAGCCCGTGGCTCACTTGGGAGAGTGCGGTGCTGATAACACCAAGGCCATGGGTTTGGATCCTATATAGGGATGGCCGGTTTGCTCACTGGCTGAGCGTGGTGCTGACAACACCAAGCCAAGGGTTGAGATCCCCTTACCGGTCATCTTTAAAAACAAACAAACAGGGCCGGCCCGGTGGCGCACTGGATAGTGCGCCGCTTGGGAAGCGCGGTGGCGCTCCCGTCCGAGGGTTCGGATCCCACATACAGACCAGCTCCCGCTCACTGGCTGAGCGAGGCGCGGGAGCAACATCGAGGCTTGCGATCCCGTTGCCGGTCCCCGGTCCGGTACAGGGGCAACACTGAGGGTTGCGATCCGTTGCCGGACACGGAAAAAAGACAAAAAAAAAACCAAAAAAAACCCAAAAACTCTATTAGTTTTTGCTTTATTCATTTTAAGGCTGTCCAATGGTATAAAACTTTAGAATTATATCCTCCTAGTACATACAATTCTTTATCATTTAGAAACGTCCTCTGCCTTTAGTAATACTTTTTGACTTAATGTTTCCTTAGATGATAAATATATCTACTGTAATTTTCTTCTGATTAGTGCTTACATAGTGTGACTTTTTCCACTCCCTTGATTTCAACAGTTTGTGATCATTATGGTTTAGGTTTTCTCTTGGAAACTGCTATCAGGTGAATTTTTGTTTTTAATTGGAATATCCTCTTGATGGATTGACCCTTTTATTATTTGACCTTTTTATCACTGTAAAATGTCCTCTGTCTCTGTGAACAATTTTTATCATAAATTCTCTTTTGTCTCATGTTAGTATAGGCACTCCAGTCATCAACTGGTTGCTGTTTGTATGGTGTATCTTGCCCCATGCTTTTACTTTCAAGCCACTTGTATCTTTAAATCTAAATTGTGTTCCTTGTAGGCAGCATATAATTGGATCATTTAGAAAATCCATTCTGTTATATGGATGTCTGCCTCCATTCCTGCTTTCATTTGTATTAAATAAGTATTTTCTCATACACCACTTAAATCCCCTGGTCATTGTTTTTTTTACCATGCTTCTGGTGAGCTTTTCTTTATTTGTAAAGGCTATTTTTATTTAATATAGACTTCTCTGTATGAAGTCTTTGATGTGGAACCGAGACTAGAACTATTTCCCCCAAATGAGATACTGTTCACATTGAGATTGAGGTGATTACAGATCTCCTACAAGGACTGGTAATGGATCTTTGGGGGACGGACTTGATTCAGAACTCTACTACCATGAGAAACAGTTTCAGGTGCCTGACTGCTTGAGATTTTACTGAGGTGACATCTAAATTCAAATTGGGTCATTTTGATTACATTCCCAGTTTTCATTATTCAGAATAAAACGTTGCTTCTATGAACTGATCCCTGAGTTTGGCTAGAACAATTATGTATCTTGTTACATATAGCTTCCTATGATGTGCCTGTCTTGTTCAGACACAAATTACGTGGGAAACTGAAAAGATCATAATGTCCTGAAGTAAAAGTATGGCTTTGTAGTTAACCTGAAGTATGTGACTTCACAATGTAGTAACAAGTCAGTAGCCACCAGGCTTTCTGGTTGACCTTCAAGCCCTCAGATGACTTCCATGGGCATGAACTGGAGGAAACCCAGTTTTGCTCTCAAAGGTAGTAGGTTCTTACATAGAAGTAATTCAGGCAGGGCTGGCCTGTGGCTCACTTGGGAGAGTGTGGTGCTGATAACACCAAGGCCATGGGTTCGGATCCCTATATAGGGATGGCCAGTTAGCTCACTTGGGAGAGCGTGGTGCTGACAACACCAAGTCAAGGGTTAAGATCCTCTTACCGGTCATCTTTAAAAAAAAAAAAAAAAAAAAAAGTGACTCAGGTATACTGCTGAATTATAACCAGGCTGGTCAGCGATCAAAAGTAAATCTGGATCTTCAACCTCTGACAATGGTGTTCCAAAAGAAACTTGAGTCAACTTATCTAAGTTTTTATTAGAAAAACACTTTTCTAACTCTAAATTTATTTTTATGAGAAAGGTAATATCTTGACAAAGCCTGAAATTTGTTCCTTGGTCCTTAGACATTAGCCAGATATGGAGGCTTTAGCCATAGGGTACAAATCTTTGATTTGGATCTGTCTGTCATTCTACACACTGCAGGTATGAAAATGAAAGTCATTCGAATGAAAGCCAGTCAACGGAATTTCCAGGACAGACACGAACAGGTGATGGGAAATATCCAAGTTAGGGCTCTGATTCTTTTTTGATGATTTGAAATCATTTGTAAGCACTTTGGTGAATGATTTCTTAACTTTAAATCAATGGCAAGTGAGGGTTGCTTAGTGGTTAGAGTAGGAAAATGTAATTAAGGTATTACAGCTCGTTGAACTTAGACATATTAAAATAATCTAAAACTGTATTTTCTTTTCTATTCAAAATGAGAGCACTAAGTTCTTATACTTTTGACCAAAAAGGCCACTAGTGTATGTTATGATCTTATCTTCTTACAGGCCTGCAATTAGGACAGCCCTACCATGTAGAAATAACATTGGGGGGCTACGGTATCTGTTGGTTCATTTTTCCTCCCAGTCATCGTACTCATTTATCTTTATGTGTCTGAAATAACCACATTATGAAAATTGTGAGTGCTGAAGATGATTACCAATTTTGAAAGATGGAAGAGAGTTACTGTACTTTGCCATGTGACAGAAGCCTATATATTGAGTGTATGAGTGTAGACCAGATATTCCAGTGGTATAGCACATTAAAACACAGTTCTGGGCACATTGTTAGTGATTTAATGGGATTTAGTAGGGTTAGGATAGGTCCTGAGAATTTCTATATTTGTTTGTTTACTATATTTTAGGATACCACTCTGGCTAGTTTCATATGAGCTCACTGGAATTCCTTGGCTTAGGAGGCTAATCCTAGGTGCACCTGAATTAGCAACAGGCACTTGAATTTCATGGTCCCTGCCATGTTTAGTATCGCTTCTTCTCTAGAGGGTGACTCTAATGTTGAGCCTCCTGCTCCTCAGCTCCTGTGGTGAAAAGCTAACTGAAGAGGTAAGAGATGAGAAGTAACTTGTCCTAGCCACCCACCTCTGTGCATATGGGATTTAACTGTGGGAGTCTGACTTCTGAGCCCCTCCACTCTTAACTGGTAAGCTGCACTGCTGCCAGGGTGTTTTGGATTTTATTCATCAACAGAAGCTTCTGAGCAGTTTTCAACAAGGAAATATGACATTAAAATTAAAAAAAAAAAAAAAAAGAAAGCAGTAGGGTGCCTTTACCAGCAGTCCAAGCTTGGGGACTCACAGGGGCAGACCAGTCCAGTTGGTCCCTTGGGCAGGCCAGACCAGGAGGCCCTTAGCACTAAACCAGGCCAGAATGGCCCTGGTATAGGCTAGGCCTGGGGCCTGGAACCCTTAGCAGAAAGGGGGCCCTTAGTGGCAGGGGGACCCTAATGGCAGGAGACCATGTGGGACAGACCAGTTAGAGGGGGGCCCTACAGCAGGCTGGGCCAGTGGGTCCTATGGGCATGTCAGGTCAGGATGGCCCATAGTGGCAGGTGGTCCCTTAGCAACAGGCCTGGCCAGGGGGCCACTTAGTGCCAGATCA